ATAATAATCATCAGCGATCAGTGAACTTTATAAATTAGCCCAAGACAAAAGATCGCATTATCGTATTACGCATTATTATTCGAAAATACCGTTTTTTCTATTGCGCAAGCGCGTGCCGATTCGTATGGCCGTAAGGAGAGGGAAAGCTTCCCAGAGCCAATAATTAATAGGAGAAGACGTATTCAAGTCGCATGAAGTTGCTGTCGTCGGCCATTATAGTCGCGCTGTATTGTAGAAAGAAGATCTTTCGTGTTTCTCACGGATTTTTGTCGTAAAAGTAAGTCGTATTGTGCGCATTAATATCAGAAATATCGAATTAAGTATCAGAGTTCATCGCAAAGTACGTTAAATACTGTCAAGGCATAATTTAATCGTGCACTGCGTGTTAAATAGGTGGTAAATAATTGAACATTCTGGAACAATACAACGCAAATACATTTTTGTCATTATTATTTTCTCATTTCATGGGTTTTGTTTCTTTGCTGTAGATATTGCGTATTTGTATCAAAAATATTAAATAACATATCACAAGTAGCTTATATTACATGTATTACATACGCACGGTTGATATAAAATCGTAATCGCGGATTTTACGTGTATTGTAAGAGAATATCTCGTTATGCGGCAATTTAACCTTCACGAGGTCTAAAGTACGGTCACATATACAATCATTCTGTTAGTCGCCGCGTCGTTTTAGCATCTGCGCATAATCAAGCTTTCCTGTTTTCGTGTTTTTATGACGCGTCATAAATGGATCGTATATGTGAACTAATATCAAAAGTTTTGGATATATTAATATTTGGAACGTCGAATCGAGTATTGCGCGACTATTCACGTTCTTGCGATTTTTACTTGTCGAAAATAAATCGCGCGTACATGCAAATGTTATTTTCAGTATGTGGTTATTATTATTCATGATGCTTCTCATTAATACATGTATTAATATCGGTCGTATCGGAAGTGTGGAATTAAGTGTCGCACGTACATACATCGGGAGTGTCGGTTTTCGTTTTCGATTATGATCGTAATACTTGTTATTAATGTGTATATTGTTGGACCGCGTCGCGAGTGTTAATCCAAACTTTAAGAAGCCTTTGTCCTTTGAAAGCCGTTTCAAATCATTGAGCAGTACATCACAGAACCATTGAGAGATCTTCGCATCGTGTTAAGGTAAGTGCTACTTTAAATAAAAATTTAGATAATATTAATTATTCGAAATAGATATGCTATATATTTTTCGATTTATCATCAAATTTTTTGAAATTTATATATTTTATATCAAGACGTAAAAACAAAATTTGTTTGAAAAAAATTATTCGTATCGCTTTTTTCTATAATCGTGAAATTTGAATTAAAGATTGACCTGAAGAAAAGAAAACGCTATAACTTTTTATAATAATATAGCTTTTAAATTTTTCAAATATAAGTTATATATTTAGTAATTTATTTTGTAGACACAATTTTTATCGTTGAATTAATATACCGTATTTTTATTAAAAATTTTTTTTGCTTAAAAAGAGATTATAAATATGAGATAATAATATTTATTATGATAAAAAATTTGAAAATTTTTGAACATGAGAAAGAGAGAGAGAGCATGAGTCAAAAGGTCAATCTTAGATACTGACGTGTAATTTTGCCGATCTACTGGCGGTCCTGCCATCATCACAAAGATTCGCGAGATATTTGCACAGCACGGGCGACGATATCTCGAGGCGATACTCAAAGATCTGCAACGTGGTGGATACAACCGTGAGTGCATTGCCGAGCGAAGTAAGTGTGGATGCTGTCTCAGCAGCATTGCCTGCATCCCTCTCTGCCCTTCTCATTGCCTCCGCGTTTCCCGCGGGCCTTCCGAGAGACGGCGACGATGGAAGACAGAAAAAAGAGAACCGGGACGAGAGAGGAGAGATAAGAGAAAGAGAAAGAGAGAGAGCGAGAGAGAGAGTCTCGTTGCCGCAAGGCCGCAGTGAAACAATGCGGGCATCGATCGACTCTCTCCTCCTTGAGTTTGCCGTGTCGAGTTAACTTCTCCGTACCCGACACCATCTCGCCATTCTCATCGGCCCCGCTTGCTCTCGGAATTTATCTCGCGCGCGGAATTCCGCGGCGCGAGCATGCTCGCGCGTCACGGCGATATTGGCATCGATATACCCACGACGATCGCTCAATTAAGGATCGAGAGGACAGGAGAACTTTAGACAAGATATCTCGCTACCTTGGCCGCAGCTTGCAATCGATTTTCGTGGCTTCCGATAGGAATTTTGCAATTTGCACGTTGACCTTATTTTCTCAGACTGGCATGATAAGATAAGATAATTAAAGGTATGAGTTAAAAAATTTTTGGAAAGTTATTGAAAAACATTTATTGTATTAAAAAATATGCTCATTTTTTTTATATAATAATTATTTCTTCAATACGCTTCTTGCAGAAGCTTATTCAGTGACTTTATTTTTTAATTACATTTAAAATATGATGACTTTTCGGAAACTTTTTGACTTGTTTTTTTAAATTTTGCAAATGGCTAATACACTTTGATACTTTATGCTCTTTTTTTCGTAAAAATATATTTACACGAATATAAAAAACGTAAGTAACGGTTATAGCAGTATAAAATGCATTTTTATGTTGAAACATAGTAGATAGAGTTAAAAATCTCGACGTGCGAGTAAAATCTAAACAGTGGAGATTTTTATTTAGTCGCGGCGATCAGTCGGTCGTGGAGACGATGTATCCCTGTAATCTATCGACGGACTCTTTTTTTTATTTTATCCACACATCTCTCTCACACCTTTTTCTCTTTAGCTATCGGTCTTTCTCTATAGTCCAGTTTTCCGTTATTTCCAAAGACATTCCTGTGCCAGAGAATTCTAAACTAGTTCCCGTCCAGTGAGAACCGAGCGAGCGAAGCGTGTCGTCGCTTTCTCGGACGGTATCTCTCTCGCAGAATCTTCTTCCCCCTTCTTCCTTTAGCACTTTTAGACTCCGGGTTTGGGTATCCCGGACTGGACGTCCCGCGAGACTCTGAGCACAGGATTCTCGTCCGGATAATCCTCGTTTCGTTCCGTTCCTAGGCGCTTCTCACTTATCGGACTTGTATCTCAACTCCTTCCGCAAACGCCGGATCTCTTTCGGGCTATTCAGCGGCGGACTTTAAGACGATACCGACACGTCCGTCGTTCCGTTTCGAAATCGCACCGAGGGAATCGTCGTCGGCGGCAAGTTCGCACGAGGAGAGAACGATGACGGTGTTTGATAAGCACAGTGTTTCTTTAGAAAGAATAGAGAAAAATGCCATTCTTAAAAATACAATAAACATTTAGAAATTTTTATTATATATTCTGAGTATCTAAATTTTTCAAATATGTTCTCTCCTTCTTCTCACGGATATAAGTTATATCTTTATACTATGTCCTACTCAAATAAATAAGAAATTATTGTACAATTACATAAATTTACAATTCATAAAAAAATGATCACTTATTATTTTTTGCAATTTATTAAATAACAAATCTTAAAAGGACAAGTGTTTTTTTGCAGTTAAAATTAATTCTGTCTTAGAAATTGACTCGATTAATTACTGACTCAATTGCATCAAATTTAGCACTTAAACTTTCTTCATTCCGATTTATCCCCCTGGGATATTGACTTTGATACACCCTGCCGTGGACACTTTAATCAACAGTTCGCCTCGACGATCATTTCGTACCTTTATTGCGAGCGAAACTCGTAAAACCCTAACAGAACATTCGTTCTACTTTAGAACGTAATGGATGTTTATTTGCCAGCCTGCCAGAAGGCGCGGTTACGATAATTAGCGTCGCATCCTGTCCCTGTCGTCGCAGGCGTGTCGTAAAACGTGTGATAGGCTCTTTCGTTCTGCAAAAGCGAAGATCGTGTAACGAATGTTCTCAATGAAACAGCAGCTGTTCCGCGCTCGCGTAAACGCGCCTCTACCTAAGATTAACCTCGTTTATATTATCGCGGGACGACACTTCGTCGCGTCTTTACAGTTCGCCGGCATTCATTTCGGTGCTTGCAAGGTCGATGCAGATATCGCGATAAAGACGCATCCTTTACTTTTCATCCAGCTCGCCCGGAGATATAAAGAGAATTTCCTGGCGCTTAATCGTGTCGCTTAGCTCTGAACTTGGCAAAGCTGAGAAAATAAACTTGAAATAAAAGTACACAATAAAAACTCATTGTAAAGCAATTTTTCTATATAAAAATAGTAAAGCTTTTTTATTTATTTTTGAATATTTATGTTTATATACTAGTTGATATACTAACAATACGAGTATATCATAATTTTTTATGCTTATTATTATAGTTTCCATTTTTCAATCTCTTTGATTTCTCGACAAGAAACAACGCAATCTAGCGATGCAATTTCTCCGACAAAAGACTTATACCCGGCTTAATACTCGACTTTTGTTTCGCGATCACAATCGGTGGAAAGGGAATAAGGGGGAGAATAAGAAGCTCGTTATAAATTCTCGCGTCTGGTCCGGCAATAAAGTCGCGTGCACGACAGCGAATTGCATTATTACGGCGTTATTCCGCGGGTTTCTTGCGGACTGCGCGGCGATTAGCCGACATTGCGGAGTGTGGACTTTATAGTGTGCTTAGGACCGCTCTTTTCCACGACGCACGACGACGATGAGAAAAACAGTGTCATCGCGATAAGGATATCCAACCAGTTTTTACTCACCGCTATCCGCCGGTCTGCACGCGGGGGGATAAAAACACAATCGAGTCTCGGTTGGCCACGTTCGGTAAGAAAAGAAGGTCGGGCCTCCTGCTGCCGACAGAAAGAAGCGAGGGAAAACTGAGAAAAAGAGGAAAAGTAGGGGAGAAACGCGCGGGTAGTCGTGGGTGGTTGCTTGTAAACTCTGAAATATCTCGTGGGATTCGTATTATTCTTTCGCAGAACGTCGTTAGGAAGAAAACGAAAGAAACTCAGACGTCTAGAGTGTTACCTGATGCTGCTTCTCGATGTTGGTAGATGACAATGTTGCGTGGGTAAAAGAAAATGCGGGGTAAATAAGAGTAATTGGTGGTAGTTAATGACGGGTACTCATTGTCCCGTGAATAGGACAATCGTTTGCCATTGTCCTCCTTCCCTTCTCCCCGCGAAGCGTCGATTACGACTCTTCGTTTTGCGTTAATTGCCGGGAGATGGATTTCAAATAGAATATCGTAAATAAAAAGGAGTCAAATCACGAAGAAAATAAAAAACACGATAAAATAAAGTAATATGTTAAATTATTTGAGATTCTCAGATTACGAGGATTTATCATAAAAAAATTACACATTGCAAATAGTATACTAGATCTAACAATATTCAAATCGTCAAATGTTACAAAATTTTTCATTTTTTTAATTATTTTATTTGTCTCCTCGAGATAAATATATTGTTCACGAACATAAGCTAACGAGCAGAAGCTGACGAGAATAAATTAGGTCGTAAGATGTGATCTAGCATTCGGGATTTATGCAAATTGCTTACAGACGGTAAACCGTCAGACAGCCAAACACTTTCGTGAAAATAAATTTTCCTGTCGTCGACTTTGATCTATCGTTAGTCAATTGATATATCGAGCCTAGTAATCCGAAGGGTTGGTCGCAAATCTGAAATGTCAATAGAAAGGCTTCCCCTCTTTATTGCAGTAGTTTGCTGACTTGTCGAAAGTTGCTTTTATTATACACTTTTCCGCTGATACCAAATAAATATAATCTTCCATCATTTTTTTCGTACAAAATATCCTTGAACAGTCACATAAGTTTTCACCTATAAATTGTATAACAAATTTAATATTTTATTATATTTTATACATTCAAAGATCTATTTGTCAAAATCTCTCTTAATTTTTAATATTAAATAATTTCACAATTAAATAACAACTAGCATTATTAAAACAATTATATCATTTCTTTTTATTTTGTTTTTAAATATGCAAAGTTAGAAAAATATCTAAAGAAATTCTAGAATTCTTTGTAGTATTTTTCTCAGAGCTATTTATCAAATTTTAGAACGGTCTTCCAGACAAGTATATTTTTTATCATCTCCGTGTTTTTCACTTTTTTTTATTTATTATATATACACACAAAGCAGCTGTTCATTATACATATATGTACCACCTCCCATGTGTTTAGATTTTCTGCAGAATAAACTTTGTCTCAGTCTCTCTGTCTCACCCCGCGTCTAATTAATAAGTTGAATTCATATTCATTCCCAAACTGGCGCGATTCACTCGTAGCGTCCGTCAGGAGTGCCAGTGACAGCTTCAAGCACCCTTCTCGCCTTCTTCCGGGGCGCTGCTAATGAGCAAAACTTCCCGCGTTTCTGTCCAAAGGGTTGACACCCTGCTGCCAAGAGTGTTTTCAGCATTTATTGCTGCGATGAATGCGAGATATCGTGAGAGGAGATGAGGGAAAGTCAGGCGAACGGTTGAGGGAGGTGTTTGAAAAGGAGAGCTCCGCATCCACCCTTTCTCACCCTCGCTAACTCTGAGAAACCTCGAGCGATTCCCTCCCGGTGCCGATCGACAATCTCAAAAAAGAGGGTCTTGAGGAACCGCGGGAATTTTCTTAGTGGATCATTCGTTACGCGCTTCTTCTTTTACACTACGAGGGATTCGCCGTGAGAGTAGGACGGTGGAGGAAGGAAAAGACGCATCGGCTTGGCGTTCTGACAACCGACGCAGATCGATCTTCGCGCGAAGGCGTTAGCGGAGGGAAGGAAATCTTTTTTTCAAATCGCATCAGTCACAATAGCGAGCGACTTGGCTCGCAGGGTGGCTTTTAATACCCCTCGAAAGAATGAGATGATCGTAATGACGTTGGAACAGGTGGATTTTAAAGTTAGCGAGATTGATTGATGTGAAGTATTTGCATTAGGTGGTATCGTGGAAATCGCAAGATAATAGATGTTGAGAAATGTTATTGCAGATAAAAAAGTCAGTTACGTTTTGTATCATTGAATCATCGACATTTCGCGATCGTTTGTTTCTCCAAACATCAGTCATTTATTTTTGTGAATATCACACTGGATAATTTTAGCCATTGTTTTTTTCCATGTCGATGTTATTCGATTTGATCACGGTGAAATACGTCGGCAGTGCAATTACCCGCGATTCGTTACCGGGAATTTCCGCGCAGAAACTTGCGCGCGAGGAAGGGCGGTGAATAAATCGCCGCGTCGATGGTGGAAAAATTTGGGTCACGTCGCCATTGATCTCCATTCGTTTTGCGAGAAGAACGACGCCGCCGTCGTCGCGTTTGATTCATTGATCGCGGAGAAGGGAGAGAGACGGTGAGAGAGAATGAGAAAGAGAGAAAGCGCACGTTCTTCTTCCTCGCTACGCTTCCGGTAAATAGCGATGTGATTTAGGGCGGCCACCTACCTACCTTGGCGAGACAGGACGGGCAACTCCAAGTTGCCGGTGGTCGGAATTCAATTAAGTCTTAAGCGTATCTCAGAACTATCGCGCCCAGGAGGTCGCGGTGACCAAGAGAAGCGCTCCTCCATGAGCTGGTAACAGAGGCAGTAGATAGCGTACATATGTACTCCATTAAGGTGCGCACCTGTCTGCGACCAAGTAACTGGGGTATCTAATAAACGGAATATGTACGAGACATATTGCCGAGTACGCCGTTTCAAACATTTCTATGAGAAAGTTAACGTAATGATCTTTTTTTTAATAACATTAACAAACGTTTTGAAATCAACGTAATTTGAATATTTATTTTTCAAATATTAAAAATCGTTTTTGTGTACCAAGTTTTGAGAAATATTCGCCGTATTTCTAATTTCTTATACATTTTATTTTATATTTCAATGTATTTAATACGGAAAATTGAAAATTTAAACAGTATCAATAATTATTGCAGATTTTAGCTAAAAATTCTTCTTAGAAAATAAAATTGACGCTGTTAATTTTATTAAATTAAATTTTTCTTGATATAAATTGTTGAATGATTTATCAAGGACATTGTTATTAAGACATATTCGAAACTCGTTTTCGACTATCTCTGACGTCTGCATAGAAGATTCACGGCAAAGTCATGTAGATGGATCACGCAGCGGATGCTGCGTGGGTGATAAGTACGTGAGAACACGCGAGACTTAGGTAGACAGAGTAACTCAGGGGTGGTCAACCAACTTTGTAATTCATAGTAACATGATTTTTTTAACGTTACGAGATATTGTTACAGTGAATTAAGTTCAGTCTATTTCAAACGAAATAATAAAAAACAATAATCTGACAATAAAACATACTCCTCAAAAAAGCAATTGTATTTTCCAAATCCAAAAGGACTTTGTCTCGAAAAGTGCCGAATAAATGTTAAATTTATACATTTAGATAAAAGATTTTCTTTTACAAATTCTTTTACTTACAACGAAAAATATTCTCAAAGTAATTAACAATTCGATGAACACCACAAAAGATTGATCACCCCTGAGGTGACTGGTAGCTGATGTACCTGCGGGTGTTGGGTCGCGTTACAAGCGGGACGAGTTATTAGAGCCGCTAGCGAGTTGACCCTACCATGCTAACTGCGTTACGAGCAAGCTTGCGAGATCGCATTACTCGTTCTAGCCATACCGCGTCGCCCGACCACGTGGTACGGACTCCGTATTCATTCGTGGAGAGATGCATCCCGAGGACGAGGCCAAGACGCCAAGGGACGACTACGTGATTCCATTATCGTCATTAGAGATATATTCGTGAATTCGCAGGTCGTGCCGGGTTTCTCTCGCTTTCCTCGCAATCGAAACATTTTGATTGCCTTAGCAGATTTTGCATCTTCGACTTTATCAAAGAAATAAGATAAAATTATACAATTTTTAACAAACTTCTTTCTCTTTTATATCTTATTATTCTAAATCTCACGCATATCGTATTAAAAATCACTACATTTGACGAAAAATTATTATTTTGTTTTACATATAAAATATCGGTCGAATAATGTTTAGTAAGAAACACAAACGTTGCGTAAATGATATGAAACACTCGTGTGTTTCACATGTAAAACGATGAGTGCCCGATCAATAATTCTCTTGTTGCTCGTTGAACAAGTGCCTATGATTAGTAGTTCACCGACCTTTCGCCGCTTAGAAATTACTTATTCAGCGAACTTCTGTTCGTTGAATTCCCGTGACGATCTACGGATGAGGGACCGTCAGAGCTGTATCGATAGCGCGAAAGGAATCGAGCGAAGCGAGCAACGGCACTGCGAGTTAATGGTTTGACACCTGATATAAACTCGAGAAGAGAACTCTTCGGTAATTGCTGCCTCACCCCGCGATCCTTTCGTCGTTTCCACCTCTTCCGGTCGACTATCTCCCATCTTTGCCGGAGCGAAATAAAGGGCAGGTACGAACGAGTGTACACGTCGAATGTCGTTACGATTCCTTTACCTTCGTTTAGAGTGTCACGAGAAACAGTTAAGGACTCGATGCTTATTGGTGTTTATATTCGGGCGTACTCTCTATTGGATATTCGGAACGGAGACAAGAATAAATTTGAAGAAAGCATCGGTCGGAAAAATGTCAAAGATAGCTACTTTAATTCACGATTATGTTAGCACGCTGAAAATTGCGACATTAAAATAATTTGTAATTAAAAATCGTGTCTAAAGAAATTTTCAGCGTGCTAACGCAATCGTGAATTATAATAGCTATCTTTGACATTTTTTCCGATCAATACTTTCTTCAAATTTATTCTTGTCTCCGTTTAAGGAAAAATCGTATCTAAAAAAAAAAAAGAACTCAAGTCTCAAACAATTTCTTGAAATTTTCATTTTTAACAACCGCGTTCACATCCAAAACGCAATTCAAGCCCAAGTTTTCGTGTGTAAATTATTCCGCTTTTTGTACTTCTTTAATCTTGTAAATCTCGACTCATTATTGCTTTGGCTGGATCGTCCTAGCAAGACCTTTCTTCGTGGCTGACGTGGACTCGCGCGCGTCGTGGGAGTTTCTTTGAGTCTGTGCACGCGAGTAACGAGGGAGCTGCCGCCGAATCGTTTTCCCCGTCGGGGCTCGTCCGTTGTACTCACCTGCAAGAATAAAAAAGAGATTTGAATAGAGAGTTGCGTCGGGGGCGTCGTGCATAAAAAAAGACATAAAAGAGGGGGAGAGAGAGGGTGAAAGGCGCGACGAACAGAACGGGGGTGTATGTGTCTGTACGCACAAAGTGCATCCTCCGAGAGGAGAACGGCCGCGCATCGCGCAGCTTCCCTCAGGAACATCCGACAAATTCCATGGAAGTAGCGCGTTCGTCGACGAGCCGGTCTCTTTGTATTTAAATGCATGCGGTAATAAAAGGCACGTCCGCATCGGCACGGTATACAACACGCGCGCGTCACAAGTTTCCCTTTTCCCTTCTCACTCCCGCCGCCGCGCAGCCGTGTCCTTCCTATGTCCTTTTCATCACCCTTTTTCCAACCGCCCGCAGGGCGAATTTACGTGGCGCAACATCTCTCTGTCGAATTACGAGCGCGTTTTGATAATTTCTTCCGGAGCTTTTCTTTCTCTGTGTAATTGTCGCAGATGAAATTGTCCAGAGCTGTTATGTAATCGCGGTTGAATTTATGAAATTCGAAAAAGTGACGCAACGATAATTATAAATTGTGATTCTTTTACAATTTTATTCGAGAATCTTCAAGTTAGATGAACTCTCGCCAGAGCTTCGATTTTCCGAATTCTCAATTACTAAGATTTTTCAGTCATCCGTGCTTTAAAGACTGGGAATGAGAAAAAGTCAATGGCTGAAAGAAAACCGAGATTCTTACAAACCGATAATCATCTCGGGCGGGTTCGCTGTCGTTCGCGTGTCTCTCTCTCCCGCGGAATTTAATTAATCAAAATAAACAAACGCCGACGCATGGTTTTCATGCCAGACGTGACGGACGTCGTCGGACTAATGGAATTTTTAAGTAAACGGGTATAAATTACTCCGAACACATTTGTTCCGCGACGCGGCGCCGCGTCGAGCGCGCGGTCCGGCATGAATTTTCAAGCAAATACGGTTGTAAATTACTCCGAGTATTTGTTCTGTTCATCCACCGAGAGTTGACAGTGGGCAGCGGGCAGAAGACGAAGCAAGTACACGTCTCGCCGTTGTCCCTCAGAATCTCACCGATCTCTCCGAATGTGAGTGGAATTTCCACAACCCATTTTGCATCTGCAGTCTGCCAGTGCACCGATATACATCCGCATTTTTAATTTACATCTCACGTGAAGTGAAGTAGTCTATAACCTTTATCGTTTAATTAGCAAACTGCTTTTAACCGCGAAAAGCTCAGTGCCTTTTTTTTTTCGCAGAAATTATAAACTCCATATATATGTACATAAGTAGTAAATAGAAAACAATTCATGTTCAAGAGCTTTTATGACTATATATTGCCATCAAGAGCGGTCGACGAGAAAAATGATTGCGTAGAATAATAGATGCTAGAATGTGCAAAAATAAAAGAAAATATTTAAACTCTGCTTAATTTGCAGTACTTAAACGCAAGTTGCCCGTGGGGCTATTGTTCCTCGTTAACGAGGCGCGAAACTATCGTCCGCGATAATCACGAATATTTATGCTTTATGTCGAGGCTTATCGAGCGTCATATCGTCACTGAATAACGAACCCGAGCTGCCCGGACTGCCCGCGACTGCGACTGCGAAGTCGTACTTCAGACTTTATCTCGGGCTGGCATGCCGTCGTGATATTCGCGACGAAACGAAACTTCGCGAGGCCGCGGCGGTAAAGAATGCGACGTTTTGGCTTGTAAATTCTTTCCCCGGGTCCACCGCACTCCGCTGCCCGGTGATGTACGAGCGCGAAAGTTGCGCCGCCCCGCGCTTTTCCACCGTGCATACCTTATCAAGCGGCCGCGCTGCTGTAACGCGATGTGCACCGGCGTCCCGGATCTTAACTGACATCTATGCGGCGGAAACCGCGGAGCGATGCAGCTGTTCTCGTAATAAAGATTAACTATCTCGACCGTCCGTCCGGCTTGCTCCGCTCGCGACAGCGTCACGGACCAACCGAGTTTCGCGGGCGCTTTTATGTGTCGCGTAGCTATGACACAGATTTTGTCAATATTTTCGAGACTTTTTTTTAGTATTTTTAAAAATGTTTTCGTATGTATTTCTCCCGTGTGGTTAAAACGCGCGTATTTTTCTTCATGGTTTTTTGCATCAGTTAGGCTTCAAATTTTTTTATTATTGTACGTAAAAACTTTTTGAGAATCAATAGATAAGTATCACTTTCTCGGCATGTGCTCGAAGAATTGGAGATAAGTCGAAGAATTAAAGATGATCAGAGGAGATTCGATGAAACTTGTGGCAATACCGCGCCGAATTTCCCGGTGGATTTTGCGCTGGAAAATGGATCGAGCGGTAGGTCAGCGAGATCGGTTCTTCGCGATGCGGTCCGAGGTGCTTCCAAACTCCTGCGAACGATGATGTTCGGTATCGGTTCGTAGAGAGGAAGTACGCTCGGTCTATCGGAGAGGCCGCGCTTCGAGATTCGCGGAACGGATCGAACTTGATAGGAAGTTTCGGAACGGTACATTACGGAATGCCCGCCGCTACGAAAGTACTCGTGTATAGTTCCGATCGTGGCAAACAGTAACAGTAATACTAGAAAGAAGTAGACGGAAGCAGAAAACGTGAAAAAGAAAAGGTCAGCGGTAGACTATGCGTAAAAGTTTTGGAATCGGAAAGAATCGCAAGATATTGTCAGGTAGTGCGAAGTTTCGGAAGGCCAGATTGCAACGCGATTGAAGTTTGTAAGAATTGCCTATGAGATAAATTCGCATATGTTTGAAATTAGTTGATATAAAAATACATAAATAAATTCATTAATTTTCTAGGAAATAGCGCTTCTTATCATTCTCAATAGCATATTGTGTCGTAAAATAACATAATTTATAGAATGTTATGAAATTATATTACAACAGAAAGTAAGATGAAATATGTTTCAAATGAAATAATGCATCGTTGCAAAAAATAGGGTATTGACAAAATTTTTTAATTAATATTTTTTTAAAGAAAACAGTACAATAATAAAATGCTTAACATCAATGTTACATTTGATTAGCTAAAATTTATTAGAAATTAAAATATTAATATTTCTATCCAAAACGTGCAAGAGAAATTAGAAATTCAGCAATTTTTACTACATTTCTGAAACCTCTGAAACCCCTGAATCTCTTCTATCGATCAAATTGGAAATAGCGCAAAGTGAAAACGTTAGGATACGAGCTAGAGATAAACCGGAAGTTAGAGACTCGCGAAAGAGACGCGGAATGAAAGTCGCGAAAGAGTTATGGGAACTCGGCCAGGAAGTATGTGAGTTTGCTCGAAACGGATTCGGAGCGCGATCGCTAGCTGCCGCTTGTCCGAGGGCTTCTTCTCCAATTTCGCCGACTATATACTCGGCTCTTCCGGTCCTCCGCTCCGTGACCCGAGGATGGGAGCTTCGTGCGAGATGGTCCGGAAATAACGCGGCCAATCACAAACGGCGAGGAGATTCGTTTCTCCGCGGCTTGCGAGCTTTCGCAATGCTTCCGCCATCCCTTGTCTTTTCTCCGCGAAGAGCATTCCCGTGACTCTCTTAGGGTGCTCAAACTCCACCCGGTAAATCAGCCGCCGCAGCAATCGCACAGAAGAATATACCCGTATCCGCTTATTGAGGCAGAAATAAGTCCCCAAGTCCCCATCGCCCAAGTCGCCGGTGCGGATCGTAAAAGGAGGGAATTGGGATTAGAGAGGAGCCTATTGCTCTGTCGTGCGTATCGACGAGCTGTGTCTTTACTTGCACGTCCACCTGTTTCTTTTGGTTCTCCCAATCGATGCGAAACAAATACGCTTTAACGCGACGTTATATTTAATTGATTAAAATTTAGCAGAATTAACATTATTTTAATCGTTTATTAAAATGTTCGAAAAATGTTAAAAGTATTAGTTTTGTATGGAAGATAAAAAAATATCAACGCTTCTTTTATTAATAAATTCTTTGATTAAAATTTATATGAAAGAAATATCAAAATACACAGTCTGTAATTTCGAAATGGATCTTCAATACAGTGGCACGCGCTGTATGCAATATTGAATTTAATTTACTGAAAATGGCTCCAGTTGGGGAATTGATTTTACACGACACAAATGCATATACAAATTCGCGTACAAAGTGTCAGAGAAAAATACTGCATACTTTGTAGAGAAATTGATTCATTTAACAATTAAATATTTCAGTCGTTTTAATCAATATCAGAGTGTAACTTCAGATACAAATTTTGCAGACGAATGCACTTTCAGCGGTCGGAGTGTTTTGATTACGCTTCGACGCTGTCGTTATCGTTTTAATTACGAGTTATCATTTTAATTGCAAGTACAAGAAAGCGTAACAAGGCGCGGCCGTCCGGGACGTTAATTCAATTTCGTGTTACCGCCTGCCTTTCCCTGCGCGCGGAAAGTCCGCGTCTGAGTTTCTTCCTCTCGTGCGACAGTTTACAGTTGGCCAACTTTTCCTGTTTCCTGTTTTCCTCACTCCTGTTTCGCCACCGGACTTTCGAAAGTGGAGTAACGAGGACTGGGCTTCTCATCGCGAACGACGAGGCTCTCTTCTGTCGAGTTAGGTTCGCGCGCGTGGCCCTCGCTGACAAATGGCCGGCGATTATTGCTGGTTTAAGCCAACAACGTGTGTAGGGAATCGGGGAAGGGAGAGGGTCGTATCTGAATTATTGCTCGTGCCGTGACAAATTATTCGAGGATGACGCGCCTGGCTGCGTGGTGGCGCGTTCCGATAGTCGCTGACGTGACGAACGATGACGCCGGGATATCTTGTCGTTCATTAATATCGTCCGCCGCGCGTAAATCTCGCGTGACCTCTTCTCAGTTTCGGCGTCCCTCCCTGTTGCGGCCTTATTATGGATAAAAATTAATTTGCGGATTTTCAAAATTGCCGCGTTAATTCGAGTAAGATGAATTTCGCGGTTTTAACGGTTTTAGCGCGTGACAAATATATTAAGATTCGTCGTTACAAGGGGAATTTTTCTCGCTTCGTGAAAAATTTGGGATTCGCGCTTTCGCTTGCCGATTCAATCATAATGCGACGAGAGTGATGAAGAACAGAAGGGAAAAATGTTCGTTGATGGCGCGACGGAGGCTTCGAGACTGAGGCAGACTTTCGCGTGCACGTGGCTTCAATTATGGACGTCGCGTCGCCGGTGTGTCGCGCAAGTTTCGTTCGTTAACCGCTTCAGCAGTTCGGCCGGGCTGCTCACGGGCGCCGTTTGTTGGTTTTAGAACTGATTCACCGGAGGGGGAGAGCATCGCCCGAGCAAGTTTCCAGGGCACCGCTTTATTATCTCCGCCGGTATAGTCTCGGCTTCACATAAGTTTTCAACTCATTTTCCGCTACGTAAGAAAAATGCTCTTAAGAAGGCGTTTCCTGCTTTACGCTTCCTCGAACTTGATAACATGCAGAAAGTAGTTCCGGAAAGTTTTGAATTTGTCCCCGAGCATGGTTACGCCCGCTTGATACTACGGAGAAAGACGGGACCGGCCGTATTGTGCCCGTTCGTTACGCGAATGAAAATTGTTCCGAGCAGGTTATCGACATACTTTCTTGTTATTATAATATCAAAGAATGTTCGCAAATCCTCCTCTGTCATTTTTAATGAAGCTCGGCAAGTTTTAAATTAACAACAATAACAAAGTTGATATCAATTTTACGTGACTTTTTGAGAGAAGAAATTATTGTGATCTTTCAGAAAATTAAGATAAGAAGTTTTTGTCTTATACAAAAGTCTTAATTTTAAACGGGAAGAAAAATTACCAAGAATTAAAAAATTGTTTGGTTTATGAGAAATTCAGTTTCTTATATCAAACTCTTTATAATACAAATTTTTTTTTTATTATAAACGTCGGCGAAGAAATCAATTAAACTTTTGTAATATAATTAACAATATTACATTTATTTTATCGAGTTAGAGCGCGTCGAAAATTGATTTCCGGAACGAAAACCATTTTTAAAAAGAAAGACCAAGTCTTCCGGTTTGCTTACGGAGCCGTGCGATTCAATCTAAACGGGTTGTCGGCCAATTTCCGGGCGGCGGGCGCCGCATGTAGAGCGACTAATCGCCGGATTCATCGCAATATGTAAGCAGCACGGATGCGTGTGAGGCAACAGAGAGCGCGCGATTAATACATGCGGTAAGAAAGCAAGAAAGCAGCACACGTGCGACTCGTGACAACGCATTAGCCCCGGCGTCAACTGAGACAGACGTCAGCCTTGCGCGGCTTTTCGACCGTCGCTACACCAGCCGTGTCACTGTCTTGTCAAGTCAGAGCAGACTTATAACATTATATTTAGATGCCACTGTGCGCCCCTCGCGGTAAAATGCTTCGTCGGCAAGCTGTCGATGCGCGCACAGACAAAGCGAAAACGGCGCCACGATGTCGTTGACTGCACCAACGTATTTACAGGTTTTGCTTGTGCATACCGCGCGAGCGAGGTGACAAAAGACGTATCCATCATCGCTTTGCCGTTATAAATGGTCTCGTGTTAACTATTCTTCAGTTTATCTTTTTCTTGATAAAAAACGTTCAATGTGTTGAAGAACGATTCAGACTTTTATATAATATGCCATCACAAGAGAAATCGTTCACGGAAAACGGAATATGATTCGTTGAGACGTGTCGGAGTTATCGACGATATCGGAGCAAATGAGGCCGTGAATAAAAATTTCATGCGGATTTTTACGTTTACGCGGGGCGGAGAATATAATTCTTCAGACGTACGTACCGGTATGAAGTAGAGAGCGCATGTAATTCCCGAACGTGCATCGCCGGGGCATCGGGAATAATCTGGTGCAGGATAGAGAGCCAGCGCCGTAAAACTCTGGCGTGCCGTAAGACCTCGTAAAATATCTAAGCATCGAAGGAGTTCCATCGCAGTGGAAATCCTGCCAGTCGGATCGCGCCAGTATCGCGATTTCCGCTCTTTCTCGACTGGCACGTGCCGTCAAGAGTTCTTCGCAAGCGGCCGCTTTTTTATAATCTCGAAACGAGGAAAAAGAGATCAAACGAAAGGAAACGTTATGCAAAGTATGTTGTAATGTTTTTCCAGAATATACGCAAAAAGCTTTTTCGTTATTTTTAAATTATAAATTCAACCTGGAAACGTTATAATACACATTTTCTCCATCTCCGAGTTATGAAATCATACAAATTATCCTCGCTCCGAGATATTGATTTATTCCTTGATAATTAATTGGATATTTTTGGAAAATTTTGAAAGGTTAGAGATTTTGCAATCATAAATTTATAATCGCGAAATGTTACATGACAAATTTTTTTTAAATAATCGAGATATTCTTTACAGATCAATTTATATAAATAATACAGTTTATAATTTTTGTTAAACTGTCGCAAATTTCGACTGAAACCGAAGAAACTAGTGGATCATGTCTAGTGATGAATTTTCGTGCACTCTTCGCGACTTTCCACCGCGCTCCTGTTTTCGTGGCACTAAAAGCGGATATCATATTCGCTGAAGCCGCGGTTTACTGTTTCATATGGCCCGACTGCTATAACAGTAACACTTAGAAGCGCTTTTTATTTCGCAGATCGCGGAGTACGCGATTTTTATTTCGACTCTAGTGCCCTGCATTTTATTCGCGGATTGTGAAATTCTTATTTCTTTGCGATACTCTATGCATATCATTTTTATAACCTTTGTTTTATTGTTAGTATAAATAATGCATATTACGAATAAATTTTTCATAGCAATAATATTACAAGAAATAGTTTAATCTTCTTACTCGAGAGATTGCTTTGCCATAACTTTTTATCAACGTTACATTTTTTATTATAATAATAAATGTTATTATTTATAATAAAATTTGTATTTTATAAAAACAGAGAAATTCTTTCTCTCTCCGTATTTATTCTCTTGTATTTATTCTCAAATATAAAAATTATAATTTCAAAAATATAAAATACTCTTCCAAAAATCACTTTATGACTTATACGTTCGCAGTTTTTATCGTTGATATTTCCCCAATGTTTGCATGGTACACACAAGAAACTGTCCTTATCATTCCTCTATCAGTATCGATATTTTATACACGGCAACTCGCTTTTGCATTCCATCGAAACGTGGGAAATTGATTTTTCCCGCCCATCTTTCCTTCCGCTTTATCTATCATTCACCCGGAGAATGAATGCTCGTCTGTAACCGAAGATTCGAGATTTAAGGTTCATTTTTGGTCATCATTCCGAATGAATCGGCCAAAGCTAAAATAAAATGATATTGTCACCAAAAAGAATCATCTAATGATAAAAAAAACATAATCATATACTTTAAATACGGTTTAAATAATCATATTATTTTATCGTGAAAATCTTAGAAATTATTGAAAAATTAATGAGAATTACATCGTAATTTGCATTTTTGTTTGCCAATTACTCATTTATTAATTTTAAGGATTCTTTAGCTCGCTTCTCACACATGTATGCAAAGATACACATTTATTGGATGTGTTTGCTTTTAAATTATTTTATTTATCAAAATCGTAAAGAGCGTAAATGAGTTTTTAATAGGCAATAGTTGCGCTTATGCGGCCCGCGAAAGATATTAAGCTTCTTCTTTTATGACATCGTTGTGCCTCGCGGCTTTTACGACGTTGCTTGTCTTTACCGTAAATCCCTCAATCCCTTCGGAGTCAATTGACTTTCTCGTGGTTATACGAGGTACCGAGGTGCTCTTCCCTTCTCGTCGGTGAGAAATCTTCTCCTTCCCCATGTTCTTTGTTCGCTAATGCAGTCCTGCTTCGCCTTTATTTTCCTCAGATTAATGAGGTATTGCGTTCTAATTGATAACACCTTTTTCTCAATGTACTTTTTATTATCTAAAATATAAAAAAAATCTTGTAATAAATATTATTAGGCTATAGTTTTATAATTGTAAAATATCATAATCAGCCTGATTTTCTTATAATTTGATAATCTCACAGTCATAATAATACGAATAATTTTTCTTAATAGCTGGTAAACTATTTAATTATTAATGTATTCTTCTTTCTTCTTCTCACGCATCCTTTTCGCAACATTATATGTGGAATATTTCAATAATCGTTATATTAATACGCATTTTTCTTTATTGTTTCAGGAAAATCGCGACTTATTGCGGCCCATCGACAGAGGATGAGCATCGATCGGTAAGTTTTTAAATTTTTATCTTCTTGTATCGCATTCTTATGACTTCTGTATAGTTTTCATATTTCTAAGATGATTTTAGAAATAAGAAAAGGTAAATGCGGCTGCTTCGCAGCAAAGTTTTCATTTCCGAAAGATAAACTGTTATGGAGAACAGGAATTTTCCATCTTTTCTCCAAATTATTATAATAATTCAACGATACAATCTGAATTTTATCGGCGTAATTATTATACATGATATTTGACTTGGTTGCGCGCGAACTACTCTGCGGTGCAGGAATATAGATGCCCGCCGTTCATTCATACGCGGCACACTGATGCGAGATGAACTACTCCGCGCGCGTATTTCGCCGCTATTTCGCATTTCAAATCAGTTATCCTCCCTCAGACGTCGGCAGGATATGTGGCCATTTGTACAGCTTGTGCCGGTACCTGCCGGCACTCCGTCGGCGCCTCGCTTTCTTGTAAAACCGGCATTTTCGTGTCCTCGCGCCTCACGTGTAGATGTAAAAGTGCAGGCGTATGTGCATGAAAACGTCCTTCAAATGCGATGCCGAGAAGAGCGGCGAGGTGGAAGTCGCCGAGGTAAGAAAAGGATATAAACGTGCGAAAAAAAAGATGTTGCATATTTTTAAAATGATAAAATGCGAGTTATGATTAAACGTAGAGCGACACGCTGGTATAATTTAAAAGTTCCATTTACTTAATCAGATAAAAATCTGTTTTAAAAAGGACCGTTTTATTAGCCAGAATTTCTGAGAAAATGTTTGCTTGACTTTATTCAACTCTTAATATTAATTAAGAAAATATGCGCTCGGTTTTCGTTTTGTGTTTACCATTGAACATAGATTTAAATACCTGTTTTACTTTGGAAGACTAACGGAATTTTATACTTTTCGACTGTTTATTTATATATATGGGAATACGGATAATAATAATGATCATAACTTCCAAAAGTAATTTCACTACAGCAAACCCCCGTGCACGAGGTGATAAAAGGATGTATATTAGAAATTCGTGGCTTTCCACGAAAATTTCATTAGCGGAAATTTCTAACAAAACATAATATCGCTTTGCTTATACATTTGCACGTGAATATATAAGCAAATAAAGATTATAACGCGGCGAATATATTCTCGATATTAATAATACCTTAATAATAACGAATACTTAATACATGTGGACGAAATTTTAAATATAAAATTCTTATGCACACAATGTTTCGATAAAGAAGCGTATATTAGAAACTCGAGGCTTTCTACGAAACTGAGAGAAGACGCATGGGATGAGGTACGAAGGGATGCAAGACAGGTTGGGAGACGATAGGGGGGAGGGGGTGTGGAGGAGCACGGGTGGCCGGCGGCGCATTTTCTACGCTATAGCGGCTGTAAATTTCATATGCGCATTCCGCTCGCTCTCTGCTCGCTTCGAGCTCGCATATACATATCTATGTGCAGTCCGACGCGGTAACGGCCGCTGGCTGGCTGGCTCGTTCCAATGAAAGTCTCCTTCCCGCGAATACCCAAATTCAAGCATCTCTCCCTCGGGACAGAGAGAAAGAGGGAATCGAGTGAAAGAGGTCTCCCGTTGCGAACTGAGAGTGTTTCGGACAACATCGTGTGTTTAACGGCGGACTCTCTACGTAAAAATTAGAAAAGCAGAATAACAGTGATATTAAAATACAATACTAGTATGCACTAATATAATACTAGTGTTATAAAAATAGTACGAGTCGCATTACAGAGCATTTTATATTAAATTAACATGATACGCGATAAATGTGTTGCGAAAAATACGTATCTAAAATTATCGATCAACGTTAATTACAAAATAATTACTCTCTAGATTAAATTTGTCTAACTTTTATGGTGTTACGCTTTTTTTTTCATTTCGGGATAAAAATATTGTTCGTACTTATTTCTATATTTGTATTTTAATTTGATACAAGTAAATTACCAGGCAATGAATTATAACAAGTTTCGCGAAAAGATATCTCACGTTCAATGGAAATCTGCTAGTCTGAAAGATGTATGTCTGATTTAAAAAGCGAAATTCGTTTCTGTATTAGTTCTGTATTTTCTCTCTGCTTTGTGGCGATATAAAGCGCGGCCTTTCGCAAAACTCAGGTCGACGTTTTTATCGACGTCGCAATTTCAGTATATGCTCGGTAGAGAGAGAAGTACGCCGCAACTAATTTTCTGACATGATAGCTGTTTAAATAGAACTACTGCTAACGCTAACTGAATTATGCCGGATTTAACGCATACGTAAAGTTCCACTCATTTTTCAAATGCAATCTTTTGTCGAGCGGCTTGAAAACGTCGCGGTAAATATCTAATATCTCGCAAAATATAAAATATTTGATGGAAATGTAGCGTGAAATGGTAACAACTGAATGTAACGTTACCAAAAGCGTATATCACGACACAAAAAGAAGTAAGATGGGTTTTACATTCTTTTTTTTTCAAGAGAGGAAGAAAAGTATTTTAAAAATTTTAGTTATTCCCCTTTGCCTCTGAGCCTCTCAATTTTCGACTCTACGCTTTTTTTCCGGCCACCCTACGTTTAATCCTGCGGATTCCTGCGAAGCGTGACGTATGCCGGATCGTTAATTTTTAATTCGCCCGCCTTTTCATTTCCGTTCGTTGCCGATTCGGTACGCACGACGTTATTTTAATCCCCCGGGAGGGGCAACGGGAGACCAACGAACTATCGCCCGAAAGAACGTGCCAAAGGGGGTGGCGCGACAAAAGGGTACGGGGTTCGTTTCATAAATTAGGGGCACGGAAATTTGGACGAGGGACATGTTGCTTTTTTCGTACAGAATGTCCTATCAAATTGGCTGCTGCACACGTCGACAAATATCGATGTCTTTCGCGGACTGTAATTTTCACGCTTGCTGCGTTCCACTGGTTCATTCTCTATCCGTTCACAACCGAAGTATCTTTGTTTAGTTCTCTCGCATTCCGCTTAAGAGCAATTTTTCATCGATAACTGAAATTTGAATAAAATGAGATAACATTTTATTCAAATTTCAATAAACAATTTTACAAAAGAATCAATAAAAAAATTTACAAATTAAATTTATAACTTTAATCTCGTAAATTACACGTATAAGTAAAAAATTATTAAAAAATGTCAAAATTGACAGTTTGGATAATAAGATAGAAAAGACTGATTAATTATTCTACCTTAAGAGAGGCATGTTATTTACTTTTGAGGCTTCTTTGCGTTATTAATTGGTCAATTCGCATTGCGCGTGTCATCGCGACGTTCGCATTCATAATTTTGTTTATTATCGATCGATTGTCATCGAGCTTGTACAGATGTTTGACAATTGTATCTTTGTTATTATACAAAAAGTAGCAGAAGTATTTTAAAGAAAGTAAAAATGTTAATTATATAACTGAAAAAATAGCGCGTGTGGTCTAGTTAAAATAAACAAGTCATGTAAAAAATTAAAACGCAGAATAATGATCGAAAATAAGTTAGTGCAATAATGAAAGTGATCCTAATATGAATTATAAAGCTGACAAAAAATGAAAGAAAAATTTTTCAGAATAATACTTAGCCTCTTATGATTTTCCATTGCGCAGTTATGCTAAGCGTAACCCCAAAATAATATTTCCAGCGAAACTTTCACGTTGAGCGCGAAAAAGTAAGTTAAGTCGCGGGACAAATAGCGCGTTTGCATAGCGGCGTGAAACGCAAATGAGCATATTTCCCGGCGCTTGTATTCTGCGGAATTGGAAAAATGCGCGCGCGGAAAATACGGAAGGCGAGCAGGAGAGAAAGCCGCGGAAACGTTAGTTTCAACGTACATTTAGAATTCTCATGAAATTCGTATCATACTTCACGCGATCGATCGGCATTTCGCGCTCGCCAACATTCGCAAGAACTTGTGAATGTGATGCTCGATACATAGGTAACTTTGACTGGAATTTAATACCTCGACAATCTCCTTTCTTCGTTTTTGCGCAGTGTAGTTTTCATGCTTGTTGTAACAAACTGTTCGAGAGAGCTTGTCACGTTCGTAGCGTATCACATTTTTAGCAGAACTAAAAACTGATGAAAATTCGAATTACACGGTTTAGAAGACGTTATCAATTTATCGATTCGTTGGTAGAACAACTGCAATGTCGCTTTGTTGCTTGGAAAGCAACGTGAGATAAATTTTCGATGCTTGTTATTTGAAGTTGAAAAAACTAAAATTTTATCGAGTTGTAAAACTCGATACAAAAAATCAACTAACAAAATCTTTTAAATTTAGTAAAATTTAAATTCTTATTGTACTTTTGTACTTTAATGTTTTAATTGTTAAGATATCTCGAAAATATGCCTAAGAAAAGATCAATTTTAAAATTGTCATAAAATCTGTGAAAGGATTTGTTGCTTTTGAAATGCTCTCCAACATGTTAAATTGGATTGATAAAGAGTTAACGTGATTCCTCTCGCTCTCATTTAGTTGATATCCATTCGATATTGCAACTTACGACGCACATAAACCGACACTGTGCAGTTAGACGCGCAATTTACAACAGTCAAGTTTGGAACGCGTTGGGGAACAATTTCGACTCTTCTAATGGGGAAGGGGGCGACTGCGTCTTCTATTCGAAAACCGGTGTAACTGTTGATCGACTCTATCCATTACGACGGCCCGTAACGACAGAAATTCCGCTTATTGCCCTTCGCGCGAAACGCCGCGTCGCGCGTCGAAATTATGCCCGGCGACCGTCACGCGACGGCGATAATTCCCGATTCCGTCTGAGAAGTTTAATCGAAACGCGACCCTCCTTCTTGGGCTCCCCTCGCGATGATTCCATCTTATGTGCGCGGCATATGGAGCGTGTTAAGAGGAGAGTTCGTCGGAGGTGGAAACGGTTTCGGTACGTGCCGCCTGAATACTCGAATGCATTCTGAAGTTGTTAAACGCTCAAATACGATATGTGCAATTTTCTCGCACAAATCATATGTATCGTGAAGATAGAATTATGAGGCAATC